GGCTCTCAAAAGTAGATCCAATGTGAGAAAACACTGATAATTTACTGCTGTCTCACTCACCTCTTTTTCAGGCTGTCCTCTCTACCCAAAGCCATTTATTTTTGTGGCTTTCTGATACACAGTGACATTAGTAGGCAAAGCTTGCTGCACTGATACTGTGAAATGCTGTTAATTTGTGACATAGCTGTTCACTTTACAACAAGAGGCCTTTGCAGAAACAAAAGTAAAGAGAAGATTATGTTTTGTCAGTGCTTACAGTCATCTAGTCACATTTATAATTAGCCTGGTAAATTGATTAGAATGTATCACCTAAGCATCAAGTGGAAGTGTTGAACTCATTAAAAAGCTTTCATCGTAATTGCAAAAAGTAAAGAAACTGAAAAAAAAAACCCAAAAACAAAATGACGAAACAACTAAACAAAAATAAACAAAAAAACACCACCAAAAGCAAACTCACAAAAACAAGCAAAAAACCCTAAATATAAACCAAATATAAACAAAAAAAAACCCATGAGATGAGCTCACCTGATGAATGTTTACAAACTGGACCAAATAATGATAATTATTCTACATAGACTTGTCACATATTGAGATAAAAATCAGTGTTAAATGCAAAAGCAGTTTAACTATGATTTCTGTGTGGGAAAAAAAAAAAAGAAAAAAAAAAAGCCTTTCTTGACAGGAAACAGCTTGTGGCTAATGAGATTTGAGCATTGGTCTTCCACAAAGCATTGCAGAACAAACTCTGTGGCAGAGTATACTTAACCATAGCTCCACCTAGTCCAAAAAGTTGAAATAGTGTTGTAAAAGAGCTGCTAAAATGAGTAGAGGGGCTGGGATACAAAATTATGACAATGATGTCTTGATGCAGCCACCTTTCTGCAGTAATATCATTGCTTGTTGTAATTTACCTTTGCATAACCTGGTAGGGTTTTCCATTTCAGATACAAGGGAATTAATAATGTGGGCCACCAGTATTTATTTTTTTAAGCTCTTTATTAGTATACTCCATACAGGCAGTAAAATTGTTTTTCCTCCCTTTAGATTTGATTTTGGAACAGAATGTAACTTTATATACTGTAGTGGATATATATATATATATGGGGTTTTTTTTTTGTTTTTGTTTTTGTTTTTTTTTTTTTTTTTTTTTTTTTTTTTTTTTTTTTTTTTTATGTGTTTGATTACTTGACTTTCTGATGGAGATTAGATTGATTCCCAGCCATTTGCTGGGAGGAAAGCAAGTAAGCTGGATGGGTAGCCCTGTCTTTAGGATGGTCAGAATCTGCGTCATATTAGTTATCTCAATTATACCTGTCAGTCACCTCAGTTAATAGTAAAGTAGGAAATAAATTGTACTGAACTTACATAAAAATCTGTGTTCAGTGCAGTGAAACATAGGGATGTATAAATAGGAGGAGAACTGGAAGGATTTTTGGGGAAAAACACCTCCCCATGCTCAACCTTCAGTCACACCTGTGTCTGACCCTGGGGCCAAGGGACTCATAAGTGTGCAAACAAGAAAACCAAAAACTGGCAGAGAAGAGGCATCACCTTTGCATTTCTGCCTTCTGTGACTGCAGCAGTGGGGCTTCCAGGTCTGGAATGAACACTTCAGAAAGAAGAGGGCACAGAGAAGAGCCACAGACTAATTAGGATTGGAAAAATGCCATTTCTGTAGAAAGACTTAGGAGCTCAGTTTATTTAGATTATCAAAAAGAAGGTTAATGGGTGATATGATCACAGCCTCTAAGTGCCTACAGGAGAAATTTGATAAGAGAGGGCTCTTCAGAGCAGGGGAAAAGATCCAAGAGCTGGTAGAAGCTGGGTGCTACAGCAAGACAAATTCAGAGGAGGAATAAATTTTGTGGTTTTGTTTGAACATGATGACTGTTGCTCTCTGAAATAAGATACTGAAGGGGCCACTAGATTTTCCATTACTGGACTTGTTAAATCAAGATGGAATGCTTTTGTTAGAGGACATTAACAGAAGCAAGGTCTCTCCCACAAAATATTGTCAGATCTTCAAGACTCAGAAGGCATCTTTAGTAGCATAAACCACTTCTTTGACACTTTTACTGCAATAAAAGGGCAGGATCCTGATGCTTTCTTTAGTGTTCACCTGGTTCATATAGGGCTTTACAATCTTCTCCTGTCCTTCCAACCATGTTTCAGTATCCCAAGTTAGATGTAAACAGTAAACTAAATGTCATAAGGGCTTTTTTTGTCTTAGTTTTCCCATGACATTCTAATAATGTCCATCTTCATTAAGAGATATGCAGGACCCATTCATTTGGACTTGTTTTTACATAGTTTTCTCTGTCCTGCAAAGGTTCCCTTCTTTCTACTCAGGCTATTTTCCATATTAAATTTTCTCTCATTTTCTCTGTACCTTTTTCTCCAGTCCAAACTTCCCATGAAGCTCAGTGCATCTTCTCCAGAACTGCACAGATTCTCTCTTGGCAAGAGAAAAGACAAATGTTTTGGTCTTACTTTTATGTTTTAAATGAATTCTTGTTTCCAAATCATCAGCAATCACTAGGGTGGCCAGAGAAAAGAAAATTCTTCTGACCTATTCAGGTTATGGCATCTATTGTTGCCATTTATATGGCTGATCAGAATAGTTGACTTCCTGACCAGAGATAAGTCTGGGACTTGGCAGTGGTTAACAAATGATCAAGTGTATGTACATTGACACCTTCATGATAAGAGCTGTAATATCAGACAGAGAATACAAAGTAATTATGGGGAGATCTCCTAAACTGTGTTAATAGGGTCCTGAGTCATTACAGCAGGTTCTTTATTAAACTACCTCCCATTCCAATTCTTCAATGCAAGTGACAGATTTCACTGTGCTCATCTCTGGAGCTTGGTTCTGTTTAATGCTTCTTGTAGGCAAAAAGTGTTTTAGCCCACATAGCCTCCTATTCACAGCTCTTACTTTAGAAGGTTATTTCTTTGGTAAGTTGCCTGTGATTTAGTGGAAGTAATAACAGGCTGTGTGCATTTTTCTGGATTAAAAAAATTCTAATTTAAATGATAAGCAATTTATGCAGTATCTTGAGGTTCCTTGACACATTGGAATTGAAAGAGGAGAAATGGAAGGAAATTACAAATCTTTTCTGTTTTCTTTTTTTTTTCCATCCTTGTTTATGATTTTTCTCTCATCATATATTTCTCAATGTGTGGTTTTCAAGAAGCAGGGTTTGATTAATGAAGTGTCAGATACAGAGGGTGTCATGAGAATTTTGGCATTTATTATTTGCAGCATTTAAATTAGCTATGGTATTTTTAGTATCCTTTGTTTTTTTATTTACTATATCTGTTATCCTGTTGATAGTAGATACTCTCTTGGAGTAAATATTTGTACATGGTAAATCTTGATCTTTAGACAGCTGTAGTTGATATTTATACAAAAATTAAACTAGTTATTCAGATCTGCATTTTGATGGAAATACTTTATTTATTTCATTGATTTGGCTGATTTTGTTCCATGTCTAAGGCCATTGGGATTATTTTACATAGGGAAATCAAAATCTGCTTGAAATTATGTTTTTGGCAATATCAGTAGGCCAAATAGAAGTTCAGTTGTTTATCTTTTATTTAATCCTTCTTTACTCTAGTCATCTGCAAACCGGTGTCCTAGATAAAGGATTTTCATATTATCATGCTTTTGTATAGAAGATGTACTTCAGTTTAACTTAGTTGGGAACAAGTCTGATGAGAGCCACTAAAACAGAGTGTTTCTCTGAAGGTTTTATGCTAGGTTTGTGATCCTGTCTTGTATCATTAATGGATATTGTATGTATTATTTCCTTGATACGCTTGTGACACGTCTATGAGCTTGTTCCCTCCTGTAGGGATGTAGAGAGCTTTTTAATTTCTGACACATCCCACTTGAGTGTCAGTCTTGGCATTATATTTCTTATGCAAGCATCTCTACCTACTCTTCAGTGCTTCTTTTAATAGAACCTGTATAAAAGCAGGAGAAGAAAGAAGCATATATTTCATTTGGAGCATTAAGTTGTCTTTCTTTTGCATTGTACCCTTAAATAAATAATATATCTCCTAGATAAAAATCGTATGTTCAATGATGTGTCTTGTTTATTATTGAGGGTTTTTTTTCCTTTCTCCACCCATGTTAAAAAACCCTTGCATGTTTTATCTGTGCTCCCTTCTTGCAGTCCTGTTTGTCAGAATGTGTTGTGCTATTTGACAAGGGTTGTGCTGTCCTCACTTTAGCCTAACTGTGCCTTGTGATTCAAGAAATGCTTGTGATTCAAGACCCTGACTGATAATACTCCTGCATTGTGTAGAAGCATTTGGAAATCTTCCCAGTGACTTTTCAGCAAGTTCTTAATGCAATTCATAATGCTCTGGGATAGAATCACAGATGTGAAAGAGACCTACTACATCATCTCTTCCATTTTCATCTGAGATCAGGTTATATTCCCCCAACAGAGCATGCATCAAGTGTTAGATTCACACTATTTTTGCTCTCCAACAACTTTCAAAACCTGACACAGAAAGCACCATCCTGAGAGGCCTTTAAAATGTATTAAAAATAAACAAGGAGTCAAGGTTGCCCCATCCCTCTGTGTTAAAAACTCTGTGGATTTTTATGTTACACTTTCAGTGATGTTTTTAACAATGATTTAACTGCATTGCCTGCGCTGAGTTGTCTTTGGTATGTCTGAGGAGACAAAACTGCAGAGTATTTCTTTGGAGCTAAATGGTATGACTTATAGAAGGAGAGAAAGACCGGGGGAAAGCCTTATTTCTTAATTCATCATGTTTCTCAGGGAATATATTGTAAATGCAGATTTAAAAAATGTATTGTACTACCTTTCCTTGGTCAGACTAGATCACACAGTATTCCAGGTCTATCATCTGTGGGAGGCTGCTGCAATAAATTCAATCCTGCAACTTAAATATTTTCTTTTTTCTTTTTTTTTTTTTCCTCTTATTTTCTTCCTTTCTGCATCCCTTCCCTCCCTCCTCAGGCAGCCAAGGGCAGTTCCCACTGACACAGAACGTCACAGTTGTTGAAGGGGGAACAGCAAATTTGACCTGCAGGGTCGATCAAAATGATAACACCTCCCTCCAGTGGTCAAATCCAGCTCAACAGACACTGTACTTCGACGACAAGAAAGGTAAATTATTTCTTGAACTCATTCTTCTGCACTGTTTTTTTATAAGTAAGAAATGTTTAAAACTATTTCTCTTTACTTCTCTGATGTGAATGTATTTTCCGTATATTCTAGGAATAAGTGCTTCCGTTATAATTCTTTCTTTTTTTTTTTTTTTACTGGGTTTCACTGAAATACTCTCTTGCTCATTATATTATATTTAAATTATTAAAGAAAAAGAATAGGATTTGAAAGGGTTATTGTAAGATAATTTGGAAAATATTTTTGCAAAATATCTTGGAAGAGAATTTATGAGTGGCAAGAGAAGTAGTAGCCCATACAACTTGTGACTCATTTTTATTAGTGTGTATGCATAAATATATATTCTATATATTTTTACATTTAGATATATAATCCCACAGCTTGCCAGTAGTGTACAGCAGTCTGGTTGGTGCAATGCACAGTTTCTGTGGTAGCTGCTCTTAACAGCTAATAAAAAGTGCTTGGATTTTGTGTCCTGATTTTCCAATGTATCCGTGCACAGATTTTTTTACATTTTAGTTAAATTAGAGGAGAAAAAAGGACCAGAAAACATCCATTGCTTACAGAAATAAAGATATTATTTTGAAGTGGTATATATTTGTAGACATTGATTTGAACTGAAAAAGCTTTGCATTTTATGCAATAGAATGTCAACATAAAGATTGCAGTAGATTCTGTAAAGAAATTAAAATTAGGAGTAATAAATCCTCACTTGGCTTTAAAAAATGGAAAAGCTTTGGTGTTGATTTCAGTAGTACTAAAGTTCAACAGTTATACTTAATTCTGGTGCTTGAATTTATTTTGAAAGGTACTACATACTCTAGAACATATTTTAACAAGTGCAGTTATTACTCTGCTCAAAATTGAAGAACTGCTGTCCAAATGCTGTGCTGAATGATTACAAGAGTTTAAAACACCTTGTAGGACTGAAAATGCTTTTCGGATCTGTGCACTTCAATAAAAGAGAATCTAAAACCTGTCATTTTATACCTGCAGAAGCTGCAATCAAAATATGTTTTTTTACTATTAATATAATAGCTGAATAGAATCTCTTGATGGTGTTGAAGTGGTTCCTTTCTCTTTTATCTAATTTCCTGTAGCATGTAATCATTTGATTTGCAATTTCTTTGAAATCATAAGTACCTTTTGAATGTAGGATTGAAGATGAGAGGTTTATAAGGTGCAAACTTTCCAGCACTAAGTCCTGTGCTGTCACCTTTCCCCACATGCACCCCTTCATTTTAGCTGTAATCATTAGTGATTTGGGGTGGGTAAGTAAAGTCTTGCAAAACTAAAAGCAGAGAGACCTTGTATGTTGATAGGGCACATCAATACTCAGAAAAATCTATATCTTTTCTAAAATAAGTGACATTTTAAAGGATGGTGAGAAAGACTGGTGAGGACTGCAAATACATTAATTTGAGCATTGTAGCCATTTTGGTGTGAACTGAATTTTCTGTGTGCTTTAGCAAAATCTCTACTTTGAAAACAAATAATTGAACTTTGTATTACTTTTTAATATAATGAATTAAAGCAACAGAATTTAAATGGGATGTAGAGTAGTAAGTACTAGAAGCAATTTATATTCCCCACAGGAAATGTGCAGAGCTCAAGTGTGTAAATTTAAGGGACTGCAGTCTTTATTGAACTTTTAGCTTGCACCAATACTTGAAGGAATATTTGATGATTAATTTTATGGAAGAATTACTCTGCGTCTATTGCACATGAAAATGTCTTCATGTGGTGAAGAAAAACGTCAGATTCTTTAGTTGAAGATATTAAGTCTTATGTTAGCAGTGGTTTGCACTCTGTGTGATATTTCCAGCCTCAAGTATACTGAGGGGGGTGAGCAGTACATCTAATTCCTGCATGGAAAACATTCTGCCACTTCTGAAAGCGAAGTTACAGCTTTCACTGGCAATCTTTCCTGTTTGTATATATATATATGGGTTTCTAGAAGTAAGGAAAGACATTTCCTTCACATGCCTTTGATGCTTGCTTTATTGAGCCAAAATGGCGAGGAATATTTATTAGTGGTTTTGTCAGGAAATGATGGCAAGTGAAACCTGTAAAGGCTTCCCCTTTTTTTCTCTCCTCGTTTCCCACTTCTCCCAGCCAGGCATACAATTTGGCTATAAAAAAAGCAGCTTTCTACTAGAACCAGTCATTGCATTTGATTTATTGACAGCGGTGCCTCTGCCAGAGTCCATTCAAACCTATCTCTTATTGTTAGCCAAAACCAACCTCCAGCTCTTACTCATCCTTTCAACACCATGGACATGGCTTTTTAGTAGCTGTGTTTCTCAAACCCTGAAAATTAATGGAAGCTTGAATACCTATGGAGTTATGTTCTGTGTAGAAAACAGAAGCTTAGACAAGCAGCATCACCAGCAGCCTTTATATCCATCAGAGCTGAGTAATTCTGGGTGTTGCCATGCTCAGAAATAAATCAGATTTGCTCACTCTGAACTTTACTTCCCCTCAACAGGTTATTTTCTGTTTATATGAATGGCACACGTTGGAGTAAGAGTGTATTTCTTTCATGTCTGGAAGCATAAAACAAATTCAAGAGATTTTTTTTTTTTTGATAGCTATATATTTTAATAATTAGGAGGGAGTCAAACAGTAAAATGAAGGAACATATGTAAATGTCAAAAGGTTTGAGAGTCCAGTAGAATATGAGGGAGGTGAGAGCTGTATATATATAATAATTAAGGTTAGAAAAGGCCCTAAAGATCATCAAGTCCAACCACTGACCTTAGGACCACCAACATATGGCAGAAAAGGTGCCAAAACTAGTGGAAATTGTCCATGGAGTGAAAAGCTCTCCCCTGGTGGATTGTCCTTGGTGAGACCCCTTCCATGCTCATGCTTCTTTTTCAAGCAAGTTGGTTTCCCTGTCTTGCAAAGCTGTTTTCTGACCAAACTAGAACTTCTTGTGAAAAAGGAAAAAAGAGTCAGTCACCTGGAAGGAATGTGCCCTTCAAATTCTTCTGTCTTCACACAAGGGGTTAATTATTAGTCTTCAGTTTATTAAAAATGGATGACATATATATTATGAAAATCATATTCATGTAATTTTGCATTCTTCTGAGCTGTGATGTAATCATTGACATTGAAGTTAGGAGTCATCCTTCCTTTTGTGTTCTAGATATTCTAAAGTACAGAAGTGCAATGAGCCAAACACATTAATACCAAAACCACATTATTAAAATTACTCTTCTGCTTCCCCTCACTTACTCCTTTGGCCACCTCTTTCTAAGGACTGATTTTTCTCATTTAGGAGGATTGTGTGGCTGGTAAAGACTCTTCCATCCCCAGCTTTCACATCAGTTTAATATCGATTTATTATTTATGAAGGAGTCAAGAACTGTTTTTAACTTGGGACATTTCTGGCATTTGGCCTATACAGCCTTAAAAATGATGTAGACGAAAAATCAGGAGAGCCCTGTTTCAGAAAAGGCAATACTGAATTTAGTGAATGTGAAATCACAGTTCAGAGGTTGTTTCCAGGATTTCATCACTTGTTGTGCATCTACTTTGTTTTTGTTGTAAATTTAGGCTTAAAATGTGTTTGCATCATTGTGATGATAGGAATAGGAAGGAGAAAGAAATCCTGTTTTCCTGCAGGATATTAAGTTATAGCTTTATTTTACTGTCTAACCAAGGTAAAACTGTAGCTTCCCTCCAACTCTTTCTTTGACACTCTAAAATATTTTAAGATCCAAAATAACTTCGTATTCATTATTATTCTAACACAGAGTAGCTAAAATGCATGAAGATATAAATGTTTGATCTGGTGGACTTGATCTCACTGATGATCTGACTCCTTGTGGTCCATTTTGGTACTTCTGTCTTTTTCTGATTCCTCTACCTCAGAGATTCAAGAGCACTGTATATCAATAATATTTTTAATTCTTTCATTTAAAGCATCAAACCTTTATCAGACAGTAAAAAATACTCTACTGAATAAGTGGATACATGCTCCTAAATTTAATAAGCTTAACAACCTTAGCTTGGTCTCCCATCTCTGTCTCCCCTAAGAGAATTTTAAAGACTGTGTCTTCCCAAAAAATAGGAATTCACAACTCACCCTAAGGAAGTTCAGATTCTCTGGAAACAAATGCAAATTGCGTGCTGCACTTCAAATGAGTTTTCCCTACACAATTTTCAATTAAAATGAATAATTGCCATAGAAACCTCCATATCACTTTATGCACCCAAGTACCTGTAATTGCATAGCTGCCTTTGGAAGAAGCACAATGTGCAACAGTGTAGAACTGGCAGATATTATTTTAAATTAATATAGGTTATTTTAGTTTATCTTCACTGGTGTCACTTCTTAAGGATTTTGAGAGGGCAATAAACGCAGAGAGACATAAATATGAATGCAGAGCTATAAGAAAAAAGGCTATAGCATGGAAATACAGATTTTTGATAGAGAGAAGACTGAAAAGAGCCTTTATGCAACTTACTATAGCAGCCATCTTCTCATATTCCCATTCAGTAGGGAATATAGATAAATGTGGAGCAGGATATTGAGTCATAAAGGAGGAGTGTACAACTGAACAATGGCTGTTGATATCAAAGGTGTTTAATCTCCTCTATATAAAAATGTGTAATTGGACTATCAAAAGGAAGAGAATCTGTACCTGGTGTATACATACCCAACAGTTTTGCTCAGTCAAGCAAGTGTAAAATACCTGCTCTCCACCTTAACAGGGAAGTTTGCAGGTCTGTTGATTGTAAAACAAGGGTGTGTTGACACATTGACCGTGACAAGTTTGCCACAAAGTGACACAGATTTTGATGAGACATGTGCCTGATGCTAATCATAGGTGGGTAGATGTCCCCTGTGCTTTCATCAAGTAGTAGCACTTTCATGTCTTACTGAAAAATTAGAAAGGATACTCCAGCCTCAGAATTATTCATCCCTCACTAGCAGAATATGTTTCTTTAGATGACCTTTGATTTTTCACGTG